TGATAAGGTTAGCTTAGTTAAGACATATCTTGAGAAATCATAGAATTTCTCAATCAATCACTGACTTCTGGTAATCAATGCATTGTTTTCAAGATGCTTAGGATCCTCCTAGGTATCAGCATCAGACTGATGAATTGTAGTCCCTGGATCTTTTCCCCTTTCTTAGAAAAAGGAACAAAATTCGTCTTCCTCCAGTTGTCTGACACTTCACTCTTTCTCCAGGAATTTCTAGTATAATATATGAAATGCAAGAGCATCAGCAAGTTCCTTCAGCATCGTTGAATGCAATTTATCTAGTCCTAGAGATTTAATCTCAAAGTATGTTTCTTGACCATGTTCCTGTCATCCTCATGCTTCAATCCCATCCTTTTATCCTACTCTTCACAACTGCCAGGTGAAATACATATCCTCTTCCTAAAGAAAGCTGTGCCAAAATAAGAGTTAAGTGATTCTGCTTTTCTTCACCTATTAGCATTTTGCCATTTTCATTCAGCAATTGATATACTGTCTCTTTTCTGTTTTTTTTAAATTTAAAAATATCTGAAGAAGTTTTTATTGTTGTTTTTAGCATTCCTTGCCTATCTCATTCTGAGTTTCATCCTTCTGATACTATACATTAGACAATATACTTTTCCTTCATGACCCATCCTTTTTTCCACTTCTTATATGCATCTCTTTTCATTTTCATTTTTTGTACAGCCACACTGGCTTCTTCTGTCATTCTTTTTTTTTCTTGAAATTGCTTACAATTGTGATTTTAGTATATCTTTTTAAGCACATATCAGAAACTCCTTTTCCTATTAGCTTCTCCTGTCATACTTTTATCATTTCTCTGTGTTTATTAAAGTTCAAAGTTCATGTTCAAGTAGCCCACCTGTAGTTTTCCTTAATATCAAAAACATGATTATCATTTTCCTCCAATATTCCTGCTTCTTCCAGTATGTCAACCTGGTCTCCTTTATTGATTAATATCAAGTAATTAATATCTAGTGACGTTCTCCATTCTTTAAAGGAGAAAGGTGTTAGCAAGACAAGTTATGAATAGTATAAGTAAAAAAAATGCTGTTGGACCCAATCCTCCTTATTATTGGATCGAATTCTGCTGAAATAATGTTAAGGGAAGAGCAGAAGAGAAATTCAGGAATACTTCAAGCACCAAGTTCTTTATTACATTGGAAGGTATTCAAATACGTTATGTACATGCTATGTATTGATTACAATGGTAATATTTTAACCTTGTGCAGCTTACAGTCTCCTCTTTCAGGTGAGTCTTCCATTTCTGGACAGGAATAAAACCCCGGAAAGGGAGTAAACAGGTTAATCTTTGGCCTGCATGAACCTGAGAAAGCGCTTAGCAAGTTACTGATGCTTTGAAGAGAAGAAATCACATGAGGAGGAAGGACTGGATCAGACAGAAGATCAGACACCATGTTGCGAGTCTGATTTAGTACAGAAAGATCAACTTCAGTTCCACTGCATGCATTCTGTAACAGAGAAAAATAATATTGGCTATTAATAACAGGTGCTTTTATCTTGTACAAAAATATTTATACAAATAGGAAATATATCTCAGATATTCTGTGAAGGTACATACAGTATGTGATACTAATATATTTTAACAAGTAAAGTTTGTAGAAATATACTGTAATATTAAGAGAGTTAATATAAAATATTTGAAGTTTTGCCACTTAGTTACAATTTGGGAAAATATTTGCAGCCTGATCTGCATACATAAAACTGTACCATTTCTAAGCTTTTTAAATCAGTGAGAATTGTATAAAATTTTTTGCACAATACTAACAGATATATTTAAATCTTTCTTTTCAATGCATTTTGCTGGAAGGGCATGGCATTATAAGTTAAATGCATTTTTTTAATTAGAAAGTGAAACACAAGTATACAGAAGCAAGAATTTGTTGCTACATCATATGAATGTTATACAAATAATACTGAAGCATTGGTTATTCTGCATCGCATTTTCCTGAGGCAGAAATCTCATTTTGCAGATCTCCTTTTTCAGAGTTATTCTGAAATTATCCTTGGTAAAAAAAAAATAACAAATCCCATTCTTGCTTCATTTTGCCCATATATAATGCAACTTCATTGGAATTTAATATCTGGCTTCCCTTCAGTCATTACAGGAAATCTTGGCCTTCCAGACACTGTCCTCTTATTCAGGAACTTGCGTCTATAAAAGGCTGACAGGGACAGCTAAAGGAGATTAAGTAGTTATGTATTGTAGACTAGAATAAAACCATATGCATCTGAAGTTCCACAATTGATAGCAATCAAGACCAGGGTGGTGGTGATGGTGGTGGGATTGTATTTATCTATGCTCCAAGGTTTTAACCCTAAGCTTTTTCCTGTCTCCTTTCTCAGTCATTAGCTATTTTGTCACTTTCTTCAAGACAAGAAGAGGCAGTTGTGTTGACCTTATGATTCTCTCAAGCCTAGGAACTACTGGTTCTTGCCAACTTCATTATCATCTCCTCCTCCATCTCCTCCTCCTCCTCCTCCTCCTCCTCGAGATTTCAGATCCTTCTCTCCCTTACTGTCTATGGCTTTCTATCCAACCTTTCTTGACTCTCTACTCATTTCTCTTCCCAATACCAGGAAAGGTCAAGGCATCTAAAAATGATGGCTGGCCTTCCTGGTAATGATGCTTGGGAGTGTACTTGTGGACAATCTTAGCATAATCCACTTGATCCACAAGAGGGTGCTAAGAGGTTTCAAATTCCTGGAGAAAACAAGAGGCCTCTGTAATATGAAAGAGCTGGATATGTGTCCAGCGGCAGGTAAGGGTGCTAGCTATAGGTGGCCTGAAATGGAGAGACCTCCGTGGAAGCATGAACTTTATAATTATAAATGAATTTGGCCATAGGTTAATTAATAGGATCAAGCTAATTGTCTTTGCTGTAAGGTGTCATCTGTCCATTCCATTTCTCTGTCCAAATGTGGATGATGGGCAGAGGACAGGTAAACTTTAACAACCAAAACAGAGCTTAAACTTATGAGAAACTGAGCTTCTGTCAGAAATGAGGTGATCGGGGCTCCAGATCTTTGTCGGATGAAGGGGGATGCCACAGCAAGGACAGGGATGGGGAAGGTGCTACAACAGGGAATAAAATTAGCATTTTTAAAAAAGATATCATTATAACCAGAACAGCATCCAGGCTCTTGATACATGGTAGGGAAGGGAATACAATGGGAAGGAAAGGTGATACAACAGTCCAGAAAGGGAAATGGGTGGCTTTAAATAATCAATAGTGCCCAGCATCCCAGGTATCAAAGTAAAGCTGCAGTACTTCTCTCACTAAGAAATGAGATACATACAACTGATAATGGTGGAGTAGTTCTCACAATTCCCAAGAGAAGATGGAGTGAAAAAACAAAAGGGTCCCCTGAAGGTTATCTATCCAACTCCACACATCAAGATTCTGCTTTTGCCAAGTATAGATTTTTCAGACTCCTTTCCTAAGAAATTCACAGGAGTAAACTGGTGTCAGAGGAATTGGCGAGGGGGAAATTTTCCATGCACAAAACAGAAGTAGGAGAAGAGTCATAGAATAAGAAATATTCTGACTTTTGTTTCTTTATGGCCTTCCAGAAGGCCAACAGGTTTGGGGCCATTCAGATCTTCAGAAAGGTTATTCCACAAGGCTGTTCCATATTTGTCAAGCCAGGTAGAAGGATGATGTGCTAAGGTTGTAAATCTTGCACGCTAGGGAATCAAAAGTGATATTATCGTGGTCCCAGTGAATATATCAGTTGTGAGTCTGTAGCCAGCCAGTTCCCAAGACTATCAGGAAATATAATGGGGAGCCTAAATAAAGCTGCTGGGATTCCTAATGATTGCTGAGTTGTAGATGTTTGGTGTACTCCGCAATGGATCCTAAGTGTGAAGCCTGCCATCAATCATTCAATTTTAAGAGGGGGCTGGATGGGATGAACAGGCAGAGCATATTTTTGTGTTATGGTAGTTTCAGTGAAGTTGCCTGTGGTGCCAGAATCTACTACTGTAGTGTAATTGTATTGTAGTGAAGATGGAGTTTCTTATCCTCTCTTACAGCACACACACATACACACACACCGTTATAAAATCTTATAACAATATGACTGAGGTAATACTGAATTCATTGAAATATATCAGAACTCCCAGTAGGGCAGTCTTTTTTTAAAAAAAAAAAGTTCTAAAAGTAATATTTTAACACCACATATTTTTCAATTATTCAAACTGTTCAAGACAAAACAGAAAGATTGTCTGACTGTAGAAAATTTCCCCATTTCCTGAGAAAAGATCTACATTATTTGATGCAAGTTTTTAGTTACAGGGCAAATTTTTAATTGTTCCTTTGGTATCTTCTCCTCTTAGAATTCTTTTTATATTTTAGAAGTACTGACCTGATGATGAGGTTTATACCATTGTTTTAAGTCCCAATCCCAAAGAATCATCTGTAAGACAAAAAAACAGGAAGTTATAAGCAAATAGTCTATATTTGGCAAAGTTCAACTCTTCAAGCCATGAGTTACAAATAAAAAATACTTCTATAAATTATCTGTATTTGCTGCATTTAGCTGCTGTATTTGCACTTTAATAAATAAAAAGTGAAGGCAAGGAATTTCCTGAAAAATAGTTAATTAGCTTAAAAAGTAATTCAAACTATTTTGAATTTGACAAATTTCTTTCTCTGTAAATAATTTTTCAATAAATAATTCATAAACAACTTTGTTTGTTCAATTTATATAGCTGCCAATCTCACATGTGACTGTGCTGCTCACAAAGTTAAAACACAGAAAATACAGAAAATACCAAAAACCATACAGAAAATAACAAAAATCATACAACAAAAATTATTAAAACACATTCAAATTATAAAAACCGTAAAAACATAATATACAAGAGTAACACATTCAAAATAAAAACCATTAAAACCATAAAAAACATTATGAGAGTGCAATCTAATTTATTAACAATATAGACATTTAGCAGGATCCACACCACCAAATTATTGTTTTCCATTTCAGAGATAAATTAGAGACAATGGGACAGACACATGTAATTTATTCATGTGCCTGTTCCATTGAGAGGTAGTTCTCAGGTTACAATGGCAGTTGGGACTGGGATTATCATCGATAAGCAATGCAGTTGTAATCCATGAAGTCACTTGACCACATTCCTTAGCAATGGCAATCCTGGCAGTCTCAGTTGCCATCATACCCCAGGAAGTGCAGGCTATTAAGTGGGAAGAGGCAGGAGTCCCAGGTAAGGAGCCTGGGGTGAGTATGTGCAGGTGCTGCCATAGGCGGGTGCTGGGGAGTGCAGGTGGGTTTGCATGGGCCGCAGGAGGGCTGGTGGAGCTACTATGAGTGGGCACACACCATAGGGTGCAGGCAGGTAGGGGGTGTTATGGAGTACTAGATGGGCTCCTTGGGAGAAAAAGCAGCAGGAGCAACTTACTAGGGCGACTTGCGATCTTTCCTGCGGGCTTCCCCATTGACTTTGCTTGTGGGAAACTGGCAGTGAAGGTCGCAAATGGTGATCATGTGACACAGCTCACTGTGACATTGTAATTGCAATCACATGACCACAGAGATGTTGCAACAGCCAGAACTTCAAGGACCAGTCGTAAGTCCATTTTTTCAGCACAACTGTAACTCTGAACGGTCGCTGAATGAATGGATGTAAGCCAAGGGCTACCTGTATTACTATTAACAAATATTTGATCCATGGGAATGAAAAGAAGGCTTGACAATGTCTTTATTGATTTAATTAAAGCCTTCATAAAAGAAAGATGGTAAAGCCACTGTAGGAGAGACAGGTAGCTACAGATAGAGAAAATCAAAGTTCTCATAAGGAGTGCCAAAATAATCTCTAAGTAGCTGAATTTCCGCAGAACTACCTTAGTACTTTAGGATTCTTTTCCATTAGAACAATGGATTGGCCAATTTATTCTTAGCACTGTGGTTTAATTAGTTGCAGAGTGACTTAGCAGTCTGGTGAGGTTTCCAAATACCTGCACTTTCATTAGAACAACTTCCTTTAGCCTTTGAAGTTAGTACTTACACTAGAGCTGAAAAGATCTGGATGACTACTAGATGGCAGCAAAATCATACAATATTAACAGCTTGCTGCTATTTATCAGCTGTCTGAAACACTGCAGTTCAGATATGGTACACCAGTATTATCTGCAATTCCTCATTGTTATATTTTTGCACTCATTGCTGTGTTTTTTAAATAGTGGCTCTAACCCGCGTTCAATCAAGTTCATCCCTTGTTGACCTCCAGCAGCACTCTAGATGTCTCTTCTCCTGTTTCATCTCCCTCAGCTCTTCCGTAAACCACAGGGAACAACAGGATCCACAAGAAGGGAGAGGCCACATGGGTGCAACACAATCCAAGGCCCACAGTCCTCCTCTCATTCCAAGCAGCAACTAAGGCCTCAGTCGGACTGTGCAGCCGACCATCAGGCACAACCCATCAGATTATAAGAAATAATGCTTCTGCTCTATTCTACTTTAGTCAATAACACCTGAAATGTCATTTTAAGTTCCGGGTACTGCAGTTTAAGAAATGCTGAGAAATTAGAATATATGCACAGAAGCGAGATCAAATTTGTTAGGGGCCTAGAGATAAATCAAATAAAGAGAAATTGGAAATAGATAACTTTTGCCTGGAGAAGAAAGGACTAAGAGGTGATTTGATAGTCATCTTCCCACTAGATCTGGCAGGGTTGGGCATGTTCCAGGTCTCCTCAGTGAAACAATGTCACCAGGTGGGGTCTCTGTCATAGCACCTGCCTCATGGAAAAGCCTCCCCCCAGAGATATGAATGGCCCTGACCCTGCTGGCCTTCAGGAAAGCAGAGAAGACTTGGCTTTTCCCCAGGCATTGAGGCCAGGATATTGATGGAGCTGGCATAGGGTGGTTGTTGGATGAATGCAAGTTGTATTGGGGACTCAACATTGTTTATTTTTTAAAAGGGTCCTTTTACTGCACTTTGTTTTTATTTTGTTCACTGCCCATTGTTAGATGGGTGGCTATATAAGTTTCTTTAATAAATATATGGCAAAGGATTTTTTTTTTTTAATTGTAGGTCTTAAACCATATTAAAACAACTACAAAGGATCTAATTTAGATTTTAGGAACTTCTTGAAGACAAGAGATATCAAAGAATTGGAAGAAGTTGTGGAGGGGAGTTTTTAATGAAAAGATCGATTGTCAGAGGCACTACAATTCTGAATTTCCTGCATTAGCAAGAAGCTGAACTAGTTAATCTTTGAGCTTCATTCTGTGATTCTGAATGTAGGCAAAGATATTATTTTGAAATGTGACAACCTTCCACAAGGTGGTGCTCAAAATGTAATTCTCAGAGAAAGGATTATTTAATTTAGGTTTATGATTCTTATTTTTTATTCAGTGAAAATTGAGAGTACTAAAAGATGTTACTCAAATAAAAACATATAGCTTTAAGACTTAGCAGACTGAAGCCTTCCTTTGAAAATGAATCATTTCAAAAATGACTTGCTGCCTCATGAAAAGATTGCTGATATTACACATTGTCTAAATAGCATGGTAAAGAGCCATTGTGGAATAGGTATTGCACTAGGACTGGAAGACCCATGTTCAAATCTATCCCTAGCCATGGAAACTGGATGACTTAGCTACCGTTACTCTTTCTCAGCTGAGCTCTCACAGGGCTGTTGTGGTAAAGATAAAATAAAGGCAGATTCCTAGGTATACCACCATGAATTCCTGCAGAAACAGCTATAAATCAAATAAATAAATATCAAAGACTTGGTGACTATGATGTGAAAAACAGTGGTTATGGGGTTTTTGAAGCCAAATTTAGGATGCATTCAAATCCAGCCCTAACAATGTATGCTTTGTCTGTAATGCTACCAATTCCATGTGTAGAGCCTATTAGACAGCTTAGCAGTCTAGCACATGGATGAGATGATAGAAAGGTTTAACATATGTGAGGCATTAGCATACCTTTTGGGACAAGCCAGACCAATACAAAAGAGATGGGTCCCACTTGAATGTGAGGGTACCACATTGCTGGCATTTATATAAAGAAAATGGCAGAGCAGCTTTAAGTTAATTCTGCAGGGAAAACTGACAGGATATGAAAAGCATCTGATCTGAAAAGAACCAACTTTACAGGATGTTGGTGATTATTCTGATTGTTTAAAGGAGTACTATAGAACTAGGAGATGAGTACAATCAATCAAGAAACTCACAGGCCCACATCAGTAAATTGACATACCAGAAGAAAGCAAAGACTATTCTATACAAATATCAGAGCCTCCAAGCCAAAATGGGACAACTGGAACGCTTAATGCTAGAAGAGAATGTGGATATAGCAAGCATTATGGTGGAATGAAGATTACCACTGGGATAACAGTTATCCTGGGATACAAACTCTATAGAAAGGACAGGGAAGGGTTTTCTTTTATGTCACAGAAAATACGTGGCCCCATGAATTAGACCTCAAAAATAAAGCACATTCTGGAAGATACTGAGAGTTTCTGTACCAATCCCTAAATGTAAATTAGTATTGCCCTCCCACCTGAAATCAAGAAACAAGTTGGTCTTCAAAACATGTAATCAATGAAGTATCTGAAAAAGAAAGAGTAACAGTAATGGGTGGCTTCAATTTTGTTTTCTAGGAAACAAACATATAAGCTAGGAAAAAAAGTATGTTCTGGATGTGACAAAGAGACCAATGTTTATATATGCTAGGTATATAGCATATATAGCTAGACATGTAATGGTATGTGGGAATGACCTTGGGAAGCAGGGGAAAGAGCCACAACCAGGGCAATGGTCGGATAACAGGCAACTTAGCCCACAGCAGGAATGTAGGTATGGCCAATGTCTCAGAAGCGACCCTCCCTAGTTTCTTTGGTTGTAAAGGCAACAGGGGAGAAATGTACTTTCAGACTTGCAAGATCCTGTTAATGTAACCTTACAATAAAGTAGAAGTAGTTTATCTGGGCATGCTTCTTGTCTAGATTACCTTGCAAGGCCAGCAAGAAACCAGCATGGTTTTTGCAAAGCTAAATATTATCCCACTGATCATGTATTGATTGATGGTACTAACTAAACAATTGTGGTTAATTTTAGTTAACAAAAGTTACCTTACGTGGAGACATTTTTGGTGTGGAGAAATGGGCAAGAAAGGAGTTTGTTTCTCCATTATACTCCTTTTTCTCCTTTAAAACAGGTACCAGAACTCCAGATGGAACTAGTTACTTACATGCAGTGGTTATCTGTGAATTTACACACATGGGTGATGCATTTGTGCAGGGCTATGTCTGTAATTACAGGACTGTCTGGCCTACATTCTGCCTGTTATGTATACCACGGAACTAAGTATGATTCGCGTTGAACCTTTCGATTCAGACTGACATAGAGGATCTGAGAAGGAACAATATTGCCACCTGACACCAACCAGGGTAGGAAGGCATATTGT